TGTAATTTACACAGAATTCGAAATATACTGGAGGGAAGTCAAAACGAGTATAATCATAATTTATTGAAGGCTTCACTTTGTGCCAGATGCTGTGCTAACCGCTTTGCACCAACTGTCTCATTTAATCCTCATATCCAAAAGGTAGGTTACCCTTAATCTCCCCATTTTAAAGGTGAGAAGGCGGAAGCAGAAAGATGGCAATCTGCCTGGAATTCACATAAAGATTCTCTATGTAATGACATGACTTTTGGACAAGATTTAAAAGTTTAACACATTACAGTCAAGATGCAGATCACAATATCACAGAAAGTGAAAGACACTGAGTCCTGCCAAATGGATTAAAACACTAATTATGGATCCTCACAATCTCTTGGCCTGTGTTTTCAGATGAGGGAAAACCCAGTGTGAAAAACCGTTGAGGAGATGTCTGCAGAGGAGGACTATGTCTGGTCTTTAAAGCCAGGAACTATCCCAGTAGATTCTGGGTCAGTGGGACCAGAGTAGGCCTTGAGCGTCTCTGTTCTTTTCAAAAGCCCCACAGGGTACACTTCCGTGCCCTTGGAGTTGGGAAGTACAGTCATGCCCAACATCAGGACGTTTCAGTCAACAACGGGGGTCACAAAAGATTAGTCCCGTATGGCCTAGGTGTGTAGGAGGCTCTGCCATCTAGGTTTATGAACTCCATGGGGTTTGCACAGTCTTGAGATTGCCTGACCGTGACACACTCCTCAGAACTGATCCCCACTGTTAAGCAAAGCATGACTATACTGCCTTAGATTCGCCACGGTTCGAGACCCTGCACGGTTTAGATGACTGGACACGCAGAGGGCATGCTGTCTGAGGCAGAGAGGAGCTGGAGTCACAAAAGCTCTTGACAGAGAGTCAAGGAAAGGCGTGCTCTGCTTACACGACTCTCGACTTTTCTCTGGGTCTGAACTATTTTACAGCTAATCTACTTTTTTTAACCGAGCAGCTTTGCCAAAAAAAAGTTACCAACAAATACCAGACAAACCAATATAAGCGATACCTATTAAATAAGCCTGACCCTACTAGGCTACTGACAAGGCTTTTATTTCCCTGGGATAATTTGGACAGCATTAGATTCTTTTACCAAGAGCAGTCAAGTCGAGGGAGATTATTTCTAATTGCACAGTGCCACAGATGCGGTCAGTAGCAACTGCAAGCTGGAAAGGAAACAAAGCCGGGTGTAATCCATTCCAGTTCACACGTTGCACCGGGGACAGCCTCCAAGCCTTGAATACTTATGTATGCATTTATCCATTTATTTAATCAACCACTACTAACGCCTACTGAAGGCCAGACACTGCTCTAAGTACTTTACGGACATGAAATAGCCTCTAACCTTGACACTCACCTATGGAGCGTGTGTTATAATCATCCCCGTTTTACAGATCAGGAAACTGACACACAGAATGGTACAGTAACTTGCCCAAGTTCACACAGCCCGTAGGCGGCAGAGCTAGGGCCCATCTGACAGAGTCTGGCTCCAGAGTCCACGTGCTGAATCACCACGCTTAGTCTCCGAAAACCTATAGAAAGCACCAGCCTTAATCGAAAAGTTTGGTTTTCCCCACCCTACAGTCCCTACGCGGCCCCAGTCTCCAGGGCATGCTTTCAGCTCCTCTGACAGGCCATCCTCCTCCCTTGCCCTGTCCCAACACTCTCCCGCACAAGTCCTCCTTTTCTTTTAGGCATCTGCTCTCAGCTTAAACATCACTGCCTAAGTCACAAAGTCTAACAGTAAATGCCGTATTTCTCAGCACTCAACACAAAATTGCTTTTACGTATCTCCTAGGTAATTAGTTGCTGCCTATCTGTTCTTTCCAACTAGGCTGCGAGGTCCAGTACGTCAAACACCCTGTCAGTCTTGCCCACCAAGTGTCCAGACCACTGAACACGCACCGACCCGAGGAAAGGAAGTCCCAAAGTCAACTCTCCAGACTTTCTGTGGAAGGAGGGAACGAACGGAGCACCCTCCAGCCTCACGCTTTCTTTGCCAGACTTTCAAGTGTGGGACACACACCTGTGCTCACAATGCTCCCCGGACAGCCCCCACTGCACCCCTAACAGGTAGACTTCTGCCCAGTCAAGGCCTTTGGAAAGCACTGGCTCTGCACACAAATATTATGCGGCCCTCGACAGGCCACTTCCCCTGAACCGGCCTGAGCTTCAGGGCCACAACAGGCTTCGTGAAAACCCCAACGGAACGTAGCCTCGAAAAGAGGGAGACCTGCCCCCCTCAGAAGGCACGGAGACCAGTGTCGTTACCGACGTCGCGTCTGGCCTTCCAAGAAGCCAAGACTACGGGTGCCGCTTCAGCGCCCGACTCCCGGGCACCGCATGCCCAGGCTGGCCCCTGGGCAGGTGCCCGGCACACACCGCCCGTTCCACGAACGCGTGAAGCGCACGAAGAGACCCCCTCGCTGCCCGCGCCGCACAGCTGTCCCGCGGCTTGACGGGCACCTCTTGGCGCACAAGCCTAGTCCTCAGGGACACCCTCGCCTCCCACCAGCCCCCAGGCCCATGCCCCCAGGTACCTCTCCCAGGTGGAATCATCTTCGCAGGCGCCCTGGTCGTCCGTGTCCGGCGAGCAGGAAGAGCGGGAGCTGAAGGAGGGCCTCCTCAGGCTAGCGGCCGTGGCTGTGGAGGGCCCGGGCTGCTGTGCCCAGCGGGGACACGGAGCGGCGTCCAGGGACGCCGGGGGAATGGGCGAGCCCGGCCCAGGAGAGAGCAGCAGAGCACGGCCGGACTCCGCCGGGCTCGGCTCTGGGCAGGCAGGCGCGGCTCGCCGACGCCTCCCTGGACGGCGGCCCAGCAGCCGTGCGCGCTCCCCGCGCGCGCCGCCGCCCAGAGGCTCCCTGGCTGCTGCCCTGCCCCCCTCCTCAGGCGGTGGACTGTGGACAGGGACAGGGACACCCTCCTGGGAGAACTCCTGGGGCCCCGCCCACACGCTCACTCTCAGGGAACTGCAGCCTCCTCGGGTCTGACTGGAATGCCACACCCGAAACCATGCAACGTCTAGAAGAAAACATAGGCAGTATGCCCTTTGACAGCAGTCTTAGCAGCCTATTTTCAAGTACCGTGTCTGACTGGGCAATGGAAACAAAGTACAAAATGAACAAACGGGACTACATCAAAGTGAAAAAAAATCTTCTGCACTGCAAAGGAAACCATCCACAAAACCAAAACACAACCTAACAACTGGGAGAAGATACTTGCAAACCACATATCGGATAAGGGGTTTATATCCAAAACACAGAAAGAACTCCGACAGCTCAACAACCACAAAAAATCAACAAGCCGATTAAAAAGACGGGCAAAAGATCTGAGCAGTGACTTCTCCAAAGAAGGTATACGGCTGGCCAACAGGCACATGGAAAGGGGCTCAACATCCTTAGCGATCAGAGGAAGGCAAATCACAACTACAAGGAGAGGTCACCTTCCTCTGGTCAGAATGGCTCTAATTAACAAGACAGGAGACAAGTGTCAGAGAGGATGTGGAGAGAAGGGAACTCTCCTACACTGCTGGTGGGAGTGCAGACTGGTGCAGCCACTATGGAAAGCCGTATGGAGTATCCTCAGAAAACTAAGAATACATCTACCATATGTATGATCCAGCTAGCCCACTGCTGGGTATTCATCCAAAGAACTGGAAAACACCAATGCAGAAAGACACATGCACCCCTAGGTTCACTGCAGCATTATTCACAACAGCCAAAACTTGGAAGCAACCTAGGTGCCCATCAAGGGAAGTATGGATAGAGAAGATGTGGTATGTATACACAATGGAATGCTACTCGGCCCTAAGAAACGATGAGATCCGGCCATTTGTGACAACGTGGATGGACCTTGAGGGTATTACGTGAAGTGAAATAAATCAGAGGGAGAAAGTCAAACACCGTGTGATCTCACTCATAAGTACACGATAAAAACAATGACGAACACGCACAGAGCAACGGAGATTGGATTGGTGGTTACCGTAGCGGGAGGGGGGGAGGGGAGAGAGCAAAAGGGGCGATGAGGCTCACATGTGAGGTGACGGACTATAATTAGTTTTTGGGCGGTGAACACGACGTAATCTACACAGAATTCGAAATGTATTACAACGTACCTCTGGAAAGCTACGTGATGTTAGAATCCACTGTCACTGCAATAAAGTAAAATAAAATAAAATAAAACAAAATAAAATAAAGAAGCGTAGGAGCCTCAAGAGGCTAACAGGCTTTTGAAAAGTTATTCCAGGGATTTTTACGGCTTGGCTCAGGGTGGCAGACACCAGCCTGAGACACAGCTGTGACATAGCCACTAACTTCAACTCAACTATATTCCGACTGGAGGGAAGTCAAAACTACTGTAATCATAATTTATTGAAGGCTTCACTTTGTGCCAGATCCTGCGCCGACTGCTTTGCACCAACTGTCTCATTTAATCCTCACATCCAAAAGGTAGGTTACCGTTATTCTCCCCATTGTAAAGGTGTTGAGGCGGAAGCAGAAAGATGGCAACCTGCCTGGAATTCACAGAAGGATTCTCTAGGTAATGACATGACTTTTGGACAAGACTTAAAGGTTTAACACGTGACAGCGAAGACGCAGATCCCAGTATCACAGAACGTGAAAAACACTGAGTCCTGCCAAATGGATTAAAACACTAACTATGGATCCTCACAATCTCTTGGCCTGTTTTTTCAGGTGAGGGAAAACCCGGTGTGAAAAACCGTTTAGGAATCTTGTATAGGCTCTCAGTGAACTGTAATTTTAATTTTCAACCTGGCAATAAAGCAGTAGACATCAAATTTCTCTTTCTTTCTGCTTCCTGAGGAATTAACTGCTTCTGTAATTGAGCCACTGTGCATACCTTCCTTGATTTCCCCTCCTTTCCATATGCTCCTCCATGTATTTAACAAATGTACATGAATTCTGTGTTGTTTTTTATTAGTGTGATGGCAACAATCAGAAGATTTTTGAATATCATCTTACTTTGAAGTTTAGCCTGGAAGCCGCAACTTCTCCCTTTGGTGTAGGTATGGGAACATTTTCGCAAATAATTCCATGATCCACATCAATAACTTCTCCTATAAGTTAAGGAACGACTTAAGTTACAAAAGCTATCACACGTTATTCTTAACTACGTAAATAACTTAAAGTATAATGCAACATAGAGAAATTCGTTATAAAGATAATTCACAGTAACAAATCAGAAAACCAAGTGAAATATAGATATCTATATCTAAAGAAAAGTTTAACGTAAATTTGGACATTTTGACACATCTACTTGGAAAATCTTTCTCAGAAACATTACTTACCAATAATCTAATGTCAACATCATAATGAGAGCAAAGCTAAGCTCTATCTGATATAACCCAGCCATACTCTTTACAACTACTTGTTTCTCTAAATTAACCTTTCTTACAGAAAAAACACGGTGCCCCAGAAAGGGAATTAAGACATTTATATATAATTTTTAAAAATATGATAACCAAATAAGTTTAAAAACATAGGATGATGAAGAACAATATGACATTAGTTCTAATTCTGTTATTTGATTTTTAAAAGCAAACAATTCATTCTGCCATATGTGCAGTTTCCAAAAATAATTCTAGAAATTTTGTTCTAAATAAAGGTAACAATTTTTTTTTAATGGTAATGTTAGTCACCACTCCTCAGACTGCAATACTAAGTTTAGGAATAACTATTTAAATAAATAAATGTTGGTTTCTTTTATCTGTTAAAGACTAGCTTCTAAAAAACTTTAGTTCTGTTGATAAACACTTAAATACAGGAAAAATACAAAAACATTTGAGTCTAATACCTTTGATTTCCAACGTATCACTGAGGGATAATTCTATGTTAGCTCCATTCTTGCTATGGTTTTCAGACTCTTGCATGACAGCAGTTCTCTTATAAATGCCTCTTTTCACTTCATCAAAGACCCAAAACATATTGTACACTCGAGCAGTATAGCCTGCTAATTCAGTGATCTAAAACCAACACAGAGAAATAAAATAGAGTTAATATACTCAAGACAGGCTTAAAAAATATGCAATCATATAAGCTTTTTGATTTAATGTTAAAGATCCTATTTTATTATACATGAAAAATAAATAACATATCTGATAACTAAAACAAGTAACGGTAAAAAGCTTATCAAGAGAGCAACATAGCAACGTGTCAATGTAAGTTTGATTGGGATTATAAAACACATAAAAAATTATTCATTCAAGTCACGGTTAAAAACGAAATGTAAAGATTTCAGAATATCAGTGAGACTTAAAAATCTTTGGTCAAGGGGCTGGCCCCACGGCCAAGTGGTTAAGTTTTCACGCTCCACTTCAGCGGCCCAGGGTTTTGCCGGTTTGGATCCTGGGTGCAGACCTAGCACCGCTCATCAAGCCGTGCTGAGGTAGCATCGCACATAGCAGAACCAGAAGGACCTACAACTAGAATATACACTGTGTACTGGGGGGCTTTGGAGAGAAGGGAAAAAAAAGATTGGCAGCAGATGTTGGCTCAGGTACCGATCTTAAAAAAAAACAAATCTTTTGGGGCCAGACCCAGGGCCGAGTGGTTAAGTTTGTACGCTCTGCTTCAGCGGCCTAGGGTTCACCAGTTGGAATCCTGGGCACAGACACGGCACTGCTCATGAAGCCATGCTGAGGCAGCGTTCCACATAGCACAACTAGAAGGACCCACAACTGAAAATACACAACTATGTACGGGGGGATTTGGGCAGAAAAAGGAAAAAATAAAATCTTCATAAATAAATAAATCTTTAGTCAAATTTCTGATTTGACTCGTTCAAATGACAGATTTCATTTCCAGAAAATTAGAAATTTTGTGAAAAGCTTAAGTTCATTCAATGAAATTATGATCCTTTATTTTGATATCTTTTTTCAATTTAAAATAGGTTTTAAATAGAAGAAAAATACATATTTTTCTTATTAGAAATGAATGTTTCTGAGTCAAATTGATTGTCAAAATTCCTAAGCTTGGCAGAGAAAATATCCCTGCTAGAGGATACCAAAATTGGGAGTGAGCTCACTGAAAAGCTTCAACTCCTTTTCAGTCCAAATTCCACAATTCAGCTTCTTTTCAAGCCAAACATGATTTATATGCCCAAAGAAAAACATTAAATATGACTGTTTTCTAGGTGAGATTAAAGATAAGATGAGATAAATCTCTGCTTTAGTCCATAAGGCTCAATAGAGTGGTACCTTGCTCCTATCCTGCCAGTGATCCAATTTAGGCTGAATCTCCTGCTGTTTTTCTATTAAAAGAACACCTTGTTGTCAGGGTACTGTGAAAGGTGACTCATCTCCTGTCAAGACCATCTTTCTCAGTGAAAAGGAAAGCACAAAAACCATTCCCTTACAGAAATGTTTACTAGGAAACTGGAACCAGTAAGCGAGGCAGGTCACTAGTAAATGTCTCTTAAACAATACATTGTGGAATAATACAACAATGCTGACATTTGTGTAAGATTTTTGTGTGTGCAAAACAAGCAGTAAAAGAGTGCATATTACTGTCAAAAGCTTTTTACCGTGTTTCTACTGTGTGAGAGGTCTGTAGCTGGATTAGTATCGCATTTCTATATGTTAATGTTATAGCTATTTAAAGGGTAATTTCTCAAATGTTATCCACAAAAATCTCCTGAGTTCTCAAGCAGAGGAAAACAGAGCTAAGGATTAACAAAATATGGATTCAAAAGAAACCTGGCTAAATATATTTGCATAAAAAAATAAAAAGTCCAAAACCAAATGTAGAGGTCAATTAAAGAAAAGCAGGAGGCAAGGAGTTAGTAGACCAGGATGCAGGGTGGAGTGGGCCAAGAGTGTCTGAAAAAACCTGAGAATGTGACTGTGGACAAATTACTTTGGGATATAAGACAGGGGGTTTGCCCTTGAACTCTAACTCTAAAAAGGACCCTTGCTCCCTCTGGAGCTAGCAGAGAATGCATGATGCTTTCATGTGCTGTCATAGCAGCAATAAGATTCTTTAGAAGTGAACATTCTGTGATTCAAAGCACAGTCAGCCAAAATAAAGCAAAATGCAATCAGTCTTTGTGTCGGAGACAATGTAGAAAAACTAATTGATATTCTTTCTGTGACTTAGATACCAAAGTATTTTAATGTGAGATGGCTAAAATTTTGATTTGTCATTTAATTTTAATAAGTAATTTATTAATCAAAAAACCTATCCTCAAAACTGTGTCTTCAGATTATCAAAATTACTATTTGAAAAATTTTTTAAAATTGAGTTGGTTTGGTACGTGGCCCTAAACAACTGGTTTTACTTTTATTTTTTTAACCCAATTCAAGAAATCAGTTGTTGAATGAGACTGAAAAGTTTTGTGGGTAAATCACAAACTTTGTAACTCTTTTATATGGCTTATTCGAGGCTGATTTAATAGGCAGCTAAATTTATAAAGATGCTCTGGCAATTTATATTGATACAAAAGCCACAAGAGTAATTAATAGTGAGAATGTCTGTCCATGGGAATATTATGTAACATCTGAACTGAATAAAATGATTTCCAGTCTTAACACTGTGATATCTGCAGGTCTTATTACCATTCTTTCAGCAAGTATTTATCGACCATGTACAACATTCCAAGCATTAAAATGGATATTAAGAATGTAAAGCTGAGTAAGACAGTTCCTGCTTTCCACTCAGGGCCTGGTGCAGGGGATAGTCAATTACAATGTGGTAAAGCACCAGGTGTACTGTGAACACAGAGAAGGTAGAGCCAGACTCTGCAACGAAGGCGGAAAGAAGGTAGAATCACAAGAGGGTTTTAGAGGTGGTTGGTGAGGCTTGACTTGTCATGAAGGATGAGTAAAAGTTTGCAAGGTATATAAGTAATATTATTGGCTAACATTTAGTGACTGCTTAATATGTATTGTTTTAAACATTCTACATGTATTAACTCACAACAACCCTACAAAGTCAATGCTATCATTATCCTTATTTCACAGATGATGAAACAGACACAGACAGGTTAAGGAATTTGAGTAAGTTCATATAATTTGTAAATACTGGAGCAAGAATTTAAATTTAGGCACTCTGGCTCCAGAATCCACACCTAGGGGTGTGGTTTTTTTTTTTTAATTAAAAACAAATACGTCATACTATAGACAGAAAAAGAGGAGTTATAATTGAAAGTGTAAAAATTAAAGGGTATTAGCAGCAATATACTTGGGAGGGCTGCCTTACTCTTAGCAATGTTTGGTAGAGAAAAATGTTTCCAAAATACTAAGTATATCTTGTAATTTACATTTTGCTTGATTTTCATATATCTTATATTAATCAAATTGATGACGAGAAATGCAAGTACCTCTTTGTATGAAGACATAATCCTTTCAATAGCATCAGCTCC